TCTTTCTTTCTTTCTTTCTTTCTTTCTTTCTTTCTTTCTTTCTTAGTATACATTTTATTTTTATTCATAAACATTTTGAATAGACTATTGTCAGTTCACGAAAAAGAAAAAGAAAAAAACAAACAAATATCAACATATATACTAGTTAACAATGGTGATATGGTAACAAAATAATGTTAGCAGAGTTTCTTATATTAGCTTACTCATAGTTCTATTATTTATATCAACATGTTTCTAATTGTCAATTTAATTCTTTTGTATTTAATTATTTAGTTCTTACATAACAACAACCTTTCTTACCTAATTCCTACCTTTATCTCTAGCCACTCCTAAGATCTGTTCCATGTTAAGTAATATTCTGTGTCTTCTTTATCCTTTATTTTTAATGTCAATCTATCCATCTCTTCACAGTCCAGTATTTTCTGAATTACATCCGCATCTGCTTTCTGTGCAGATGATTTAAAGCTGATAGCACTGGCCAGGCTAACGAATTTTATTTCACCTGGGAGGCCTGTTTTTCTTTCTCTTTCTTAGAGTGGTGGGATGGCAAACTTCGGCCCAAGCACATCTCCAAGGAATGGGATTCCCTCTGGCCCAGCAAGAGGAAGAAACCGCCTTTGGTGTCCGATATCCTTTTGTGTACTTTTCCTTCTGAATGGGATGTCGATTTCCTGATTTGGGGAGTTGAGGCTTCTGCAAAAAGAGAGCTAGCTGCAGGGGTGAAGGTGTGGCGTAGAAACCAGGAGTCAGGGAGTTCTAATCCCGCCTTAGCCATGGGTGGCTTTGGACTGATCACCGGGACACTGGGAGTTCTAGTCCCATATTAGCCATGAAAGCTGGCCGGGTGACTTTGGACTAATCACCAGAGACTGGGAGTTCTAGTCCTGCCTTAGCCATGAAAGCTGGCTGGGTGACTTTGGGCCAATCACCAGGAGACGGTGAGTTCTAGTCCCATATTAGCCATGAAAGCCAGATGGGTGACTTTGAGCCAATCACCAGAGACTGGGAGTTCTAGTCCCATATTAGCCATGAAAGCTGGCTGGGTGACTTTGGGCCAATCACCAGGAGTTCTAGTCCCACCTTCAGATGAAAGCCGGCTGGATGACTTTGATCTGGTCCTCTCTCAGCCCAACCCACCTCACAGGGTTGTCGTATTGGGGAAAATAAGAAGAGGAAGGAGTATTATGTACGCTTGCCACTTTTGAGTTACTCATAAAGCAATAAAGGCGAGATAAAAAGTAAGGCACAAATAGTAAAGAAAACATACCCTCTGAACAAGTTGGTTGGGGATTAGCGGCGCCTGGTTTTTCACAATTTCCTCCTTAGCAGCTCCTTCCTCACGCCCATACATCGTGTACATGCTGCACGATATCGACATCATGGAAGATTGGACGGCTATCAAAAAGGTCAGAGGGCAACAACCCCTTGATGAGACTTTTAGGGGTGGGCGAAAAACCAGTGAAATTGCGTAGGCTCACATGCAAGCACATAACATTGATTGGGAAAGAAAGAAAAAAGTTAACCGTCGCCTTCAAAAATAAAAGCCATGCTATTTGTATTGCATGGACAGAATAACAGAAAAGTTGGAAGGGACCTTGGAGGTCCTGTAGTCCAACCCGCTGCACCTTTGGCTTCTGATTGACTTCACGTGGGCCGGAGGGGGACAGCCAGAGAGCTGGAAGTGGCTTAAAATGCCCAGATGAACAAACTTTGTATGAAATTCAAGGGAATGGCCGCCAAAGACCTCTCGTTTCAAACAGTGTTGTTGTTTTGTTAACCAGTGGAATTAAAAACTTTTCCTTCATGGTTTCCTTATTCCTCCCTCCCTAGGCAAAAGCTGCTGTATCCCCTTCAAAGAGGAAGCTTGAAGGCAAGTAACTTTATTTCTTTGCAGAATTGGGATCTCCTGCTGTGTTTGCCTATTCAAACTCCAGTGGGTGCTGAATTAGCAGTCCCAGAACTCCTTGCAAAGCCAGCCTTGGAAGGCTAAATTGTAGGGCAATTGTAGGGGAAAATGTCACGCTTAGTCACGATTTTTTTTTTTCTTAATCCGGGTTTGTTAGGCTGGCCCAAAAGGGCCAGATTTGTGATTATTTCTAGGCTATAATAATTGGGTTTGTGCATTATTCTAAGCGATGGACTTTAACTCCCAGAATTCCCCAGCCAGCATGCTTCAAATGAAATCCTCTTTAAAATAAGTGGATTTCAACTCCCAGAATTCTCCAGCTAGTATGCTTTGAGGATGCATGGACTTCAACTCCCAGAATCCCCCAGCCAGCTTCCTTTAAGATGGGA